TACTTTTTTCCTGTTATCACATTGTACTGTAAACTTTATGTGTTTGCATTAAAACACTACAATATTTATACACACTTTTTTATAACCGCTTTATTTTATTAAACATTAATATAAATACAGAAGAAATCATTTAACATAAAAAATTAAAATAAAAAATGTTACTTGTACTTTGGTTCATAAAAGCATTAAAAATGAGAACTGTGTATTTTTACAAATTTTGAATTAAGTTGAATTAGTTGTATTGATTAATTAAAAAAAAACGGAGAAACGAAATTTTAAATTATTATGATTTCTTAGATAGCTCGAACGTCAGCACAGGAAATACAGTGAAGTCCAAATGTGTTTCTGCGGTCACCTGATCTGTCACATGACCCCAATAACACTTGGTTTTTGTTTACAATATTTTACTCTATAATATTTTGCAAATTTCTATTAACTAAGGTGTATAATAATATTGCTAAAACTTACTGAAAGCGATAAAAAACAAATCAGCCAATTACGCCGCACTTCATAACTTGCATAAGACTATGGCTTGGGAATCACAGATTTCCATAACCTTACGGCCGGCGATGGCTAATTGCTCGGCCGGGAATCACGCCACATTACATTTGCATAGTGCTACGGTTCTGTAAGCAGTAATCGGTCATCGAGTCCGATGTCGACGCTATAAAATGGCAACAGTTTGACACACCGGATATACGTCTCTCTCGTCTAAGTTTGAATCGGGAATATTTGTTTTTTTTTTCCGTTCAATAATAAATGTGAGTTCTTCTTCCTGGAAAAATTACCACATTCCCCGAATATAAGACCTAGCGCATTGATCAGAGCAAAAATTAATATAAGAGACACAGCGTCTTATTTTCGGGGAAACACGGTACTTATCGCTGCGGAACCGAACGGACAAATATATTTATGTATTCGGAAATGTTTCGCTCCTAGGTCGCAATCGGACGCGCACCATTTCGGTTTAAATAAATTTATTAAATTAAAATTTGTTATTGCAATCGCCGATTATCCGTGTTTCAATAAAAGTATGTACTAAATAACTGTATTCGGACACATGAGCTTACTACATTAGCTTTATTTAATCTTATCACGGAAACGTTTTACATCTTTTTCTTTCTCTTCCTTCGTAATTTCTTCCTTCCTTTCTTTTGTTACTGAAAAGAACGAAACGATTCGTGAATGTTATGTTTCGGCTCGAAACGAAACTCGTGCGCTACAACCGGTTTGTATTGTTCTTACTCGTACCTGTTCTCTTCCGTGCCGTCCGATTCTTCTGACGACATTATGATGACGACATCCTTCGAGGTCGAAGGTTTCTCTAAGTTATGCTCCTGTTCCGGTTTTCTTTCTAACTCTTCCAACTGTCGGAAAAAGAACCGAATTACTCACGGTTTGGATTGTGCCGCCGAACGCGTATGCAACCTTTTGCATCATGTCGGCCCGCCCGTATTCATACTTACTCTGGCCGGGAGGGATCTTCTTCTTTGTCGTTCCAATTGTAGCTCGGCTCTGAGTACCGCTACGTACTCCGGCTCATAGCCGCCCAACGAACGTATCATGGCTCTGCAGAGAAACGAAATTTTACATTGTTAGCGAACCGTTCGTCTAACGACGAAACAAATTCAACGACAACTTACGTGATCGGGTCGGCGGAGTCGTCCTTCGGCCCTACGAGTTCTTGTAGAGCTGAAAACCAGAAGGTTAGGGTTACTGTGCGTCGGCACGACGTCTGACGAATGACTTGCGCCGAAATTACACTTACCGGCCTCAAACGCGTCCATGACACCTGCTCTGTGCAGTATATCGAAAAGCCTGTCGACCGCTTCCGGTCGGGATAAGGTTTCCTGTAAGAGAACGAAAACAGTTTTTCAAAGTGTTACGAGTCTTACTCTGATACGTCCGAAAATGTTTGCAAATTAAAGTGATCGGCTTCACGATTGAAACGACTACTCACATGCACGGATTCGTCCGAACTCGCTATATCTACTATTTCTTCGCTCATTTTTTTTCTCGTGTGACAAGTACACTGGACTATCGCTGCGATCCCGTCCTTTTATGCTGACGCTATCGCGTCCGAAAATGCAAATCTCACGTCAGCACCACTACGCGGCGTGCCGAAGCGGAATTCGCCGCGCCGCGTCGCGACGCGCCGATCGGCCGCCCATCTGTCGGAACCCTCTTATCGCTCTGTTCTGTCGACAACCATACACGCTCGTTCGTTAATCTGTCCCGTAACCCTCTCTCCTCACGACCCTCCGTCGGACCCCGTTACATCCGGCCGCCTTACCATTTCCGGCTATCCTCGTTGGCCCGTTGCGTCGCAAGTTTCGGCCGCATCCTCCCTTCGGATGCCGCANACGCTTGATTTCAATGTTGAAGTCAGATCTCCCACTTCGTGATAAAGTTTCCGGTGGCGTCAAAATGTAAAGAAATCAGTAAATGCAATAGAGGTGATATAGGATGGTTTCTTCTTGTATTATATGATGGCAAGAGCTGCTTGATTTTGTCACATATATGTACAACAATTCTTTTTGAAAACCTATATACCTTTCGATAAATAGTTCATTGTCAAACTTTTCAATACGATTGGATTGACAAATTAATCGTCGTGGAATTCGAAAGTAATTCTGTATTATTTCGTTTTCATACGCATACTCTGCTAAGTAAGACAAATTTTCCGCCATTTCCGTCCCTCCTATTTAATTAAACATATACATAATCAAATATATTAATAAAAAAAACGATAATGTAAACGGGCCACAAATATTTCGGGAAAGACCGTTTCTTATGACATTAGAAACTACATTAAAAAAATTACCGAAGTCAAATCTGTGCATTAGAAGTTTAGAATGATCAAATAAATTTAATTTAAAAAAATCCTATTAAAAACAATTAAGCGTTAATTGCACGTCAAGGTAATTATGTAATTATTTAAAAAAATCGTAACTTGCAGTAAAAAAATAATTTCTGTTCACGATTTATGACTATCGCTATGCCATCTTTTAACGATAATTTAAACTAAAAACCTGCCAAAATTACTTTTTTCCTGTTATCACATTGTACTGTAAATTTTATGTGTTTGCATTAAAACACTACAATATTTATACACACATTTTTATAACCTTTTTTTTATTAAACATTAATAAAAATACAGAAAAAATTATTTAACAGAAAATTAAAATAAAAAATGTTACTTGTAATTTGGTTCATAAAAATATTAACATTGAGAACTGTGTATTTTTACAAATTTTGAATTAAGTTGAATTACTTGTATTTTTTAATTAAAAAAACGGTGAAACAAAATTGACATATTAAATTTACATTGTCGCCATCTGGAGAACACAATGTTAACTATCTTTTAACTACACAAATAAAATATTTAATATACGGTATTATAAAAAATTAACTTATTAATATATTACAGAACAATAATTATAATGTGTTAACTGTATTTTTTATTCTAATAACTTTTTATTATAATTTCCATAATAATAAAATTCATTTATTATTTTAATATATTTAAATTTAATTCATCATAAATTTTTAAATAATAAGTAATAAATTCATTTACT